GCAAAATTGCATTCTTTGAGGCAGAACGCAAAATATATTTGAACATTCCTGTGGATAGTGGGTTCAAAAATGCATTTGTCTGCTACATTTGAAAGCTATATTCCACGTTATATTGAGAGGGTGAGAGGGTGGCGAGAGAGACTCTGCAAAGCCAGCAGCCACCCCTCCTCTCTCTCTCACTGCCGCTTGTGCTGCTGTGGGGGGGAGGGTAAGAGAGGGTGGTGGGAAAACAGTCAAGCATCTGCAGCTGCCACCCGCTGCTACCGTGGCACCTCCTGCTGCCGCCCCTGCCGCCACTTGTCTTTGTTTCTGCTTTCTGCTGCTGGGGCCTGCAGGTGCTGCCGTCGAGCCGCTACTGTCCTGCTGCATGTTGCAGCCACAGAGCCTGCTCCTCAGGCGACCTGCTGCCCCTACACCCGTTTCTGCTTTGGCTGAGGGCGTGCTACAGTTGGATTTGCCACTCCTGCACCGGCTACTACTGCTCTTGCTTGTTTCTGTTTCTTCCACTGCACCTGTTGTACCCCTGCAGACTTTGTGCTACACACGGGTTTCCACTGTAGGCATTTAGGGGGTGTGTTGAAATGTATTTGTATACTTTCATATAAATGCCTACAGTAGCCTAGTGTAGTTATCTTAGTTTCCTGCTAGGTGGTGTACCATTTGCCTTTCTTCATTCTTGCCTATTTGTACTGCTCGCTCCATAGTGAACACCCTCTTTTGGCTTGCACTTTTCCCTCGCCACTTTCCTTCTCGTCACCCTCGCCTAGGTCAAACCCTTGACCCTAATCTTCATTCTTAACATGGTTTCAGAGCACTCACGCTCCCGGCCTGTGGGCCCTACTGCTGCTTCCGCTGCCCTACTCTGTGTCGCGCGCCCCGTGGCGCGCGACCTCCAATTTTTCATCCCGCCGCGCGCTCGGGGCGCGCGGCGGTTTTCTGCCCGCCGTGCGCCCCGAGGCGCGCGGTGGTTTCCTGCCGTGGGGGAGCCCGCGCGCGCCCCGCCCGTCCGTCGCGGCGCCCTGGGGAGCACGCGCGGCCCCCACCCTGCACGTCGCGACGCCCTGGGGAGCCCGCGAGCGCCCCGCCCGTCCGTCGCGACGCCCTGGGGTGCCCGCGAGCGCCCCGCCCGTCCGTCGCGACGCACTGGGGAGCCCGCGAGCGCCCCGCCCGTTCGTCGCGACGTCCTGGGGAGCCCGCGCGCGCCCCGCCAGTTCGTCGCGGCGCCCTCGGGAGCCCGCGCGCGCCCCGTCAGGCCGTCGCGGCGCCCTGGGGAGCCGCGCGCGCGTCCCCCTTGCCCGTCCGTCGCGGCGCCCTGGGTAGCAGCGCGCGCCACCCCCCTCCACCCGCCCAGCCCGTCCGTTCTGGCGCCCTGGGGGTCGCGCGCTGTCCCCCCCTCACCATCCCCCGCGCTCCTGCCCCTATCCCACCCGTTTTAGGGTTTTGGGGGTGAGGAGTGTGGGGGTGATGGTTGTGGGGGTGTCGGTTGTGCGCGCCGTCCCCTTCTCCTCCTCCTCCTTCGTCTCCCACTGCTGCAGCTGTCGCTGAGGGGGGTGGATGTGTGGGAGTCTGGGGTTTAGGGTTTAAGGGGGGTGCTGTGGGAGTGGAGCTAGGGTTTGAGCAGGGGGTGTGTGAGAGGGGCGTGGGGCAGCTGGGGGAGGTTGAGTGGAGGCAGCAGTCTTGTCGCCAGCAGCACCAGCAGTCCGGAGGCTACAATCTCCGGTAGTCGCCAGTCGCCTGTGGGTCAGTTGCTCCGGTCTGGAGGCTGCAATCTCCGCGGAGCCAGTTACTCCTGTAGTCCGGGCCTTTTCTTCGGTAGCCACTGAGCCAGCAGCTCCTGTGTGTCTGCAGCTTCAGCAGTCGCCTCCCATCTTCTCTCCCCCACAGTCTCTCCTCCTCCTCACTTGCCCTCTGTGATTAGCTCTAGCTTTGCTTACATTTGTGAACTCCTGCTCTATACCTGCTTGCTCATTGTACTGATTACACCCCACTTTGGCTATGGGGGTGTGTCAGAATGTTATTCTCTAGCCTGTAGTGGGGTGCTCTATAGCGAGTACAACCCATCTAGGGTTTGCTATATGTATCCTCATTGCTGCTAGTGAACCTCTCCCTTTTTGCCTAAACTTCTCTTGCCTAGCTAGGGCTTACCTAGCTATGGCTCCTACTCATGCCTACGATTCTAACATTGTTGTCTAGTCTCATGCAAGAGTCCAGTTGTCTCATTAAGGTTGGTCCTAATGTACACTATAATTGTCTCTACGATTTTGTATTTTTGTTTAATTATTCCAGCCCTAATGTGTCTACGCGTCACGTCAGCACGGCCACTGTGCATCATCAATGCAACTGCGCAAAATGACAACTCGTACTAAGGGGTTGCAATTATTGCATATGGATAGCGTCAGATTTGTTCTCACCCAAAAGCAAGAAATCAAAGGGATCCGAAACTGTTTAGGAAACAAATACGCAGATTTACCAGACCGTGATTGCGGGTGTAGAGCAAGTTGCGCTCCATGGGATTGAGAAATAAGAAAAAGAGGGAGCGCGGTGCGAGATTGGTCGACAGGATTGAGCAATATTTGAGAGCCGTCGCGTCACGCAATTATTTCCCGCATTTTTGTACCTCCCTCCCGTGTCGCTTCACATGTGGCTGTGCTCCCTCAACTGTGCTGACTAGGCGTGGTGTGACATTTAATACACATCTTGACTTCAGTGACTCTATCCACCTGCCTAGTACATGTCGACATCCATCGACAAGTGTATGGACATCGAGCGTCCTCAGCTTCGAGGTTCCGCTTCGCCAAGTAGCTGCGGATTGCACTGTACGGGAAATATGTACGGACAGTGTTGGTTGAATGTACGGAAAGTGGGAATCGCGAGCAAATGAACGAAAAATGCTCGGTTTCGTGCATTCTTGCAACTGGGAAAAAAACGTTCTGAAAAAACGTTGGGAAATTGCCGCCTTGTGCTCTGAATGGCGTGTGACCCGCCCTGATGAAATTGCCGTGCTGGCTTTGTGCTTCTGCACCGACTGGGCTCGAAAACACAGCAGGGATACTACAAGCCCAAATGTACGCCTGCACCGCAATGTACGAAGCGCCTAGGCTTCCGTGCATTTTTCCAGTACGGGAAACTTACAGTGGGAGTTTTTTCCCACAAGCACTTCCTCCGTACCGTACGGAATTACATTCCGTACATTCTGGGTGAGTCACCCAGCGCCTCTTTTAAATTCCCTCGCAGCAAAACTGTTTCAGCACGTGACCTTAAAGCTGAAGTATACATTTGTCGGCAGGGTTTAGGGTTTAGGGAGTGCGCCCCACAGGTTTGGGGCAACTTTTCAAATTTCAAAAGATTTTGAACCCCTCCTTTCAAATGTATACCGGAGCTTTAACACACGTTGGTGCTACTAGAAACACGATCGATCTGAGGCCTACGAGAGCCTACTACTAGGCTGCCACTGCCAGCGACTGCACCCAAATTTATTCCAGCCCATCATGGAGAACAGGACCCCGTGTCTGTTTCTGACGCTGTGTAAGTTCCCTCAGGCTGTATTGATCTTCTAGCTGAACCTGCGGCTCATCTCTCTCATAAACGCGTTCGTTTGTGGACTGTCCTGGCAGGTGTCTTCGTCCACTTCCACGTGACAGCCGTTTCTGCTGCGCCGGGGCTCACCGCCGATGGTGCCGCTACGTTCGAGACGGCATTGAACCTTGAAGTTGCTGATACTGGAAATACTACCACTGCCGCCGCTGCTTCTCAGTATGGGAAACTACTTCGTAAGTATCATTCGTCACACGAGTCACTTTAGTCACTAACGGTTAGTCTCGGAGAAAATATATGTCCGACCTGGTTGGGCTTGAACCTTTTTGGTTGGTCTCTTTCAGGATGGTGCCGCATCACAAACCATTCTCATGCGTTTAAGCCAATGAGTAGTAACTATCATTGCGCATCCCTTTCTCAATGAACCCTTCCTTACAGTGAAATCGGTTGCTACCTTGAAGGGTCAGGCTACTGGATTCTTTTCCAGAAAGATTTTCTTGTAAGTGGCATACCACAGCGACTCATCATGTACTAGTAGTTTAGCACACCTGCCACTCATTTCTCAACCCACGTAGTATGACCCCATATTATAATTATGCTTTCATCATTTTCTGAACATCATGTCGATTGTTCTGCCAGCTTTACTACTGAATATCAGCGTACCATGATTACACTCCCGGGGATAGTTTGCAGCTGTAAATCTCTCTCCAAGCCCCATATTCCCTCCCCTTCTCCCCCCCCCCCTCCCCCTCCCCACCAACCCCACTCCCCCACCCTCCCCCTCCTTCCCCTCCTGCTTGGTTTCCAGTGATATAGCAAGTGGTAAGATGGCATACATAACTTCCATACGCGTCCGTAACATCAAGTCAGGTGGTAGCGCCCCCACTATTACGATTGGAACATCCTGCTGGCCCGCTGTGCCAGATTACACAGTGAACAAAAGCTTATGGAAGAAGACAACCACCATAATTGGTCGCCTCTCGCACCGCGACAGCTTCGCAACGAAATACATGAAGAAAGTTGATATCTTGTTTGTCAATAACTTCGATGCCGCTTTCCTTCAAGATCCGACGAAATACTACGTCAGTGTGTCTACCCCTTCCAATAAGCATGCCATCTGCAGCAGGTGCACGTTGAAGAAAAGGAACCAGATGTAGATTCTCATCAATGTGTGGTGTGTGGCTAGTAGTAGATTCTCATCAATGTGTGGTGTGTGGCTAGTAGTAGATTCTCATCAATGTGTGGTGTGTGGCTAGTAGTAGATTCTCATCAATGTGTGGTGTGTGGCTAGTAGTGGGCTGGTAGTGGGTCGAGGTTTGGTTGGTGTTGCTGCAGTGTTGGACGCATAATCCGTGTGACGACGATATGTTTGTTTCGTTTCATTCGTAATAAATTAGCTCATGCAACATTCACTGGTAGATTCATGCCTCAACGAAGCTGGGGATGCTGAGGCTGCTGGAACAAACTCACAGGAACAAGGAATTTCCCAACCATGGGAACAGCTGGGACCCACGCCCTCTTGCTGCTGTGCCACTCCCACCTGTTCCAACTCCCCCCGTTCCGCCCCTTCCTGCTGCTGCTCCTCCACCCATGCTGCTGCCAGCACTGCCTCCAACAGCAGAGGAAGCAACAGCAACAGAAGAAGAAGAAAATGAAACCGCATGCTCAGCTTCCAAGGTTTTAACATCGGTGTGCTGCCTTTGATCCTAGAACTGCCCAATAAGGAGGGAGGGAGAAGGGAAATGAGGAGGGTTCCGAGGTGGGTTCCGAGGTCGCTTTTGCCCCCCTGGGCAAACATGCGAGATGGGAAATTTCGCATCGTGGGGAGGTAGTTTCCCGAGGGAAATGACGAAATGCGAGCTGAATTTCGTGGGCCCATCAGAGGGATAAATCGAGACCAGCTTTTAGTATAGCAGGGTACTTCGTTGCACGTGGGTAATTTATACAAAAATACGAGCCCCAACACACACATCAGCCAATGGACCAAATTCGAGCGATCAAAACTGCTAAGACACAAGCCACTCACACCATCGTGTGTTTGTTTTTACGATTTGGGAGGTGCCACGTCGGTTGGGCTAGACCGTGTTGTCCTTGGGGTTTTTGTTGGGTGGGAGGCTGGTGTTCCCACGCCCAGCTCCTCCCTCCCGTCACCGTCACACTTCCCCGTGAAAGGTGGGTGGCAGATGGCGGGGCGAAGGCAAACAAATTTGCCAGAGGAGGAAGGTGGTGAGGGGAAATAGGAACCTTCCTGGTAGGGCATTTCCCTGGAGGGAAATGACTGTTCTGCAGGCATTTCCCTTCGTCTAGGTTCGGAAGGGAGATGACTGCCACGTCGGCATTTTACGGGCTGACCGCCATTTCAAACCTAAAAATGCAGAGGCAGGCAGCTTCCTATTTTCCCTCCCCTTCCCTCCGTGATGCCTACAGAACGACCCCGATGAGAAGGGCGATGCCGCTTTTGAGTTTGCTTCCCATATAAGCTTCACTCTCCTTCATTTTCCCTTCCTCCACTCATGGAACTTGCAAAACACATGGGACGAAAAGTAGGAGGAAGGTGGTCGTGGTGCTACACTCCCCGCTCTCTCCTTATCCCCACTCTTTCCGCCCTTATCACCTTCACTCCCCCATGATTTCCCCCACCCTAAACCCTAAACCGGTACCGAACCGGGATCAGGTACGGCGCTGCTTTTTTCTATCTTCCTGCTCATCGACCATCTGATCTATTTTGTTTGCCCTCCCTCACTTGCTCTGTCTCCCTCTCTTACCCAATTATCGCTCTTGCTAAAGTGCATGCATCATCACTCATGTGTACCCATCATCACTCATATGTACCCATCATCACTCATGTGTACCCATAAGTACTAATGTGTACCCATCATAACTCATGTGTACCCATCATCACTCATGTGTACCCATCATCACTCATGTACCCATTATTACTCATGTGCACCCATCATCACTCATGTGCGCCCTTGGTATCTCACATGGGTTCATTGCCGCTCACATGCCCATTATTGCTCATCTGAGCCCATCATTGCTCATCTGAGCCCATCATTGCTCATCTGAGCCCATCATCGCTCCTCTGTACCCATCATCGCTCCTCTGTACCCATAATCGCTCCTCTGTACCCATCATCGCTCCTCTGTACCCATCATTGCTTCTCTGTACCCATCATCGCTCCTCTGTACCCATCATCGTTTCTCTGTACCCATCATCGCTCCTCTGTACCCATCATTGCTCCTCTATACCCATCATTGCTCCTCTGTACCCATCATCGCTCCTCTGTGCGGCGATAACTTTAGCAACGGGAGCTAGACTACGGGCTAGGCACGGGTGCTCGTGTGTGTGATCTCTGCGTTCGTTCGTTCCTTAGTCGTTTCCTTGTGCGCACACACCTTGCTTGTTCACGGGGAAAATTGGCAAGAGTTCCACTAGGAAAAGTTCAGAACTATGGTTGCAAGAACATTGGCATGCAAGACTACATTAGACCTAGCAAAGCTGCAGGTCGACTGCCAGCACGACTTGGTCGGCCGCGCTCCAGCAGAGCAAAGTCGCGGCTTGCCAACGTTGCAAGTCCGTGGTGTGCCAACGCTGCAGCAAGTCGGCTGCACAACGTTGCACCCGCAGGACAACGGTGCACCTGCTTCGCAGGTGCGCGCAGCTGGTTGGTGCACCCATCCTCGTCGCGTGCACAGCGCAGATGCCCAGCTCGACTTCACGCCAGCGACTGCGCCTACCAGCCACGTCGACCTCGGGATACCACTTCCGAGGTCGGCCTCGCAGAACCACCCCGGCGACCTTCGCACACGTCGCCCGGGTATCCCGGTCGACCGGGCAACCAGGTTGATGCCGTCAGGTCGGCGTCTTCCCGTCGACCACCACGGGCTCGGCCGCCGACTTCGCCAAGTCGTCAGCCACCCAATGTCGGCGCCCTCCACCCGGCGCCCTGCTGCTCGACGCCCAGCTGCTCGGCGTCCTGCTCCTCGACGCCCTCCAGCTCGACGTCCCCAGTCTCCCCTGTCGAGGTCGACGTCGGCCCCACCTTCGTCGACCACCATGTTCGGTCGGCCTCCCGGTCGACCACCCTAAACTCGGCGCCCGTCGCAGTGGCCCCTCGTGCAGGTCGACCTCCTCGTCGACCAGCTCGCCCACTGCTGCAGGTCGGCTGCACTACCCCGTACACCCGACCACGAAGTCGGCTCCGCCCAAGCGAGGACGGGGCCAAACCCAGGTCCCGTTGACACTCCCCTGCCGCGTTCACGCTTGGGCCCCCAGCCCACACGGCAGCACTTCTTGGAGAATAGCTCAGCGTGCACACCACACACAGCACGCCGGTCACCGCACCAGCCATGCAAGAGGGCACGACACCTACTGCTGCACGTCGTTGTCGCTGTCGCCCACATCGGCCAAGCGCACCTGGCCGATTGCGACGGAGCACCGGTTGAAGGCCGGATAGTGCAGCGCCTTCGTCAGGAAGTCGGCCGGCTGCTCGGTGGTCGGGATGTACCTCAGCGAGAACTTCCCGCGCTTCACCATGTGCTGCACCCAGGCCTGTCGCCGCTCCATGTGCTTGAGGTTGCCCGTCAACCCCATGCCCTCGGCGACCGTGATGGCCGACTTGTTGTCCACTCGTAGGACAGTCGGCTTCCCGGCGTCCAGCTGCCGGAACTCTACGAGGAGGAAGCGAAGGCGGCGTCCCTCCTTGCCGGCTTCCGTGGCCGCCACGTACTCCGACTCGGTCGACGACAGCGTCGCGCACTTGATGCGCTGGCTCAACCAGGAGACTGCGGCCCCTCCGTAGACGAACACGTAACCTCCCGTGCTCGTCCTGTTTTGCTTGTCACCGGCGTCGTCGGCGTCCACGTAGCCGACCAGTTCCAGCGACTCAAGTCCACCGCCGAACTCCAGAGTGGTGTCACGCGTGTTGGCGAGGTAGGCGAGGCAGCGGTCGACCTCGCGCCAGTGCTGGTTGCTCCTCACCATGAGGCCGCTCCCCAGCTTGCTGCAGGCGAAGGCGATGTCCGGCCTCGTCGTCGTCGCCGCGAACTGCAGCGAGCCGACCTTCTGCCGGTACTCCTCCTCCTGGCGTTCCTGCGCCTCCTCGTCGTCGAAGGTGAGCTCGGCGTAGGCGTCGACCGAGACCGGCGTCTTCGGGGTGCGCCCGGTCTGCTCCTCGTCGATGAAACGCCTACGCAGCTTGTCGGCGTAGCCCTGCTGGTGCAGCCACAGCTTCCCCGCCGACCTGTCGCGAACGATCTCCAGCCCGAGGTACTTCTGCACCGGCGAGACCTCACGCAGCTCGAAGGCGGACTCCAGCAGCTCCTTCAGCATCTCGGTGCTGCTGCTGGCGGCCAGCAGGTCGTCGACGTAGACCAGCACCCAGCAGGCCACTTCGTCGTCACCGACCTTGAAGTACAGAGCCTCGTCGACCTGGCTCTTCTTCCACCCGGCGCCGACCAGCACGTCGTTGAGCGCCAAGTACCACAGCAGCGGCGACTGCTTCAGCCCGTACAGGCTCTTCAGCATCTTGCACACCCGGCCGGTTCCGTCGTTGAAGTAGTCCGGCTGGGACATGTACAGCACCCGGTCGAGCTTGCTCTGCAGGAAGGCGTTCTTCATGTCGAGCTGCATCAGGTTGAGGTCGAGGACGGCGACGATGCTGAGGAAGATCCTCAGCATGACGTAGCTGCCCACCGGCGCGAACGTCTCATCGTAGTCGGCGCCATACACCTGGGTGAAGCCCTTCACGACGAGCCTCGCCTTCTCGTGCTCGACGGTGTCGTCGATGTGGTACTTCGTCGTCAGCACCCACCGGTTCTTCATGATGTTCACCCCCGGCGGGCGCTCGACCAGCTCCCACGTTCCCATGCCGATGAGGCTGCGGATCTCCTCCCCCATGGCGGCCTTCACCGCCGGGCCCTTCCAGCTCGCCAACGCCTCCTTCACCGTCATCGTCGAGATGTCCCAGCGGTGCTCAGGGTCGGCGTGCATGTCGGGGTCGAGCTCCGGAAACGCCTCATCATCCTCGGCATCGTCGTACAGCAGGTCATCGTCGTCCACGTCGTACACCGTGGTGAAGGCAGCGGGGACGAAGAAGTCGGGTGGCCGCCGAATTCGGCCTGATTGCCGAGGTCCAGGCTGGACCTCCACCACGTCGCTGTCGGTGGACTCCTCGGCGTCCCCTCCTTCGTCACCGGCTTCGCTGCCCTCGTCGGCCTGCTGCACCTTGGTCGGCGTCCCAGCCGACTTCTCCCCTGCGGTCGGCTCCCCTGCCGACTGCCCGGTCGCCGACTGCTCCTTGGTCGGCGTCATTGCTGCCTGTTCCCCTATCAGCTGCTGCCCTGCCGCTGCCCCCTTCGCCGACTTCACCACCGTCGGCTGCACCTCCTCGGCCCGCGTCTCCACTAGCCGGACGTCACGTCGGCCACCGGCGATGCCCTTGGCCGGCGCCACTAGCGACGCCCCACTGCTCCCCTCATCGCCGGAGGCCGACACTGGAGACAGCTCACGCAGGTCGGCCACGAGGGGAGGGGCAGGGGGGGCAGGGGAGGGAGAGGGGACATCCTCGACGTCCTCAGCCGCAAGCTCACCGACCTCGGCGAGCAGAGGGGGCGTCGCCGTCGAGGTGTCCGTCGGCGGGGTGTGCGGCGTCCGTCCCGACGCCGGCCCGTGCGCCGACTTCCACACCTCCAGCGACATGGCCTCGTAGAACACCACGTCCGACGTGGTGACTACCCGGTTGTCGGCGACGTCGAGGAGCTCCCAGCCCTTGCTCTCCTCTGACACGCCGAGGTGAAGGCCCCACCTGGCCTTCGGCTTCAGCTTCCCACCACGCTGCTGCTCGGGGACCAAGAACTGCGCCATGCAGCCCCACACCCGCGCCAGGGACAAGTCGGGCTTCTTCCCGGTGAGCAGCTGGAACGGCGTCGTCCCCGGCGGCAGCGCCGACCTCTCCAGGCAGTTATGGACCCAGAAGGCCTGTCGCAGAGCGAGGTGCCACCAGTGGTGCTGCACACCCATGTGCAGCAACATCGTCTGCACCGACTCCACAACCGTCCGCATCTCCCATTCCGCCATGCCGTTCTGCTGCGGGGTGTCGGGGCAGGTCAGGTCGTGGACGATCCCCTTGCCGTTCACGAAGTCGGTGAACTGCTTCCCGAAAAACTCCCCTTCCCGGTCAGAGCGCAGCATCAACACCAACCTCTTCGTCTGCCTCTCAGCCACCGCCAGCCACTGCACGAACTCCTGCAGCGCATCCGA